TTGTTTGATAGGATTTGTTAATTTATGATTTAGCAAGGTATTAAGAGGAGTTTCAGGGAGTACACGGCTTAGGCGGATCCAAAGGGAGAGGGGGGAAGGGGTAGGGCAGAAGGGGGCGAAGGGAGGAGGAGGGGGGAAAATGGATTTTTCGCTCCTTCGCCATCAGAGGCGCAGGCTTCAGTGCTGCAAAAGTCCAAGTCTAAAGCTAAAACTAAACTAAAGCCTAAAGTTACTCTAAGTAGCCGTGTTACAACTCTGTTCCTAATTTTCGCATAGTTCCAAGGTGAGAGGGAACTCTCCTCCTCCCTTCCCTCACGGAGTCCCTACTTTATCCACCTATGGTCCAGAGAATTCTTTTAAACCTTATGCCTGACCAAAAACGATTTAGGGAACCAGGCGAGGTAGAAAGCTGAAACTTTGCAGAGACATTCAATGTGCTTGTGCGAGCTAAAGATTTCAAATTCAGCCATTGCGCACGCTTGTACAGCGCGTACGGTCACGTCAAAGTTCGCAGTACTTCTGAAGTAGTCAGGTCTAGGAAAATACAGAATTGCCGTTTTACCGCTTCTTTTCTTCCACTGCCTTTCATGCAGAGATCTTTTTAGGATGAGCTTTTGTAAGACATGAATAGCATGCGTTCACTTGTTTATTATAGTTTTTTATTTTTAGTCAGCCGAGAAAACAAGGAAAATCGCCCAGAAGGCGAGCGAGGCCGCGGAAGGGGTAGAGGACGAGGCTTTTTCGGGCGCGGAGGCCGAGGTTTTATGCAACAGGTGGATAGCACACGTCCAGTCGAGGACGTCCAGGTTGGGTTTTTTCCACATTTTTTTTAATGCGGGCGAAACAGCTAGTTTAAAGCAAGATAAGTATGCTGGTTTTCGTGTAGTAAGCACGTTATTACTTGTCTTTTAAAAGGTACAGTGTGCCGGAATCTGTCCTTCATACCAGTAAATTAAGCTGTTTTTCGCCTGTTGAGATTTTTTGAATTGACATGATGTCAGTTTAACCTAAGCATCAGCTTCAACTTATTCGCTTTCAGCTTTACCTACGCATCAGCTTTATAGATGGGAATGTCCGACGGTTCTCGTTTTGTAGATGATGTTTGGTAGGAATTGAATTACAGAGAACAAAGATTATGTGGACAAAAGAGGGATTAGTGCGCTGTCGCTAAGCGAACAATATAACTGTATAAAATTGTTGCAGTGAGGTAAAGCTGAAAGCGAAAATTGTTGCAGTTTGGTGTTGTAGAAATTTACTGTATCCATAGAAATTTTGAAGGACGAGAGGTAGAGACAGTAGGTGACAAGATGTTGATGCTATATGTCAAGGAATATGTATTTTTCGCTTAAATGTCAGAACTGTTATACCCAAAGGAAAATGAGGAAGTGTTTTTTTATAAAATACCTTTGGCAGTGTGGTTCTAGAAAACTTTGCTGGTAGGGGT